CTGTTAACAATAAAGTTTTAATTTTGTCGAAATCATTAAGTCGTGTTTTAATTCCTTGTATCTTTAATAAAGTGATTCGTTGGGATTTTATTATATATTTAGTTCAAGAAATCATAACTAAAGTGCTGTACCATTTGTTTATTATAATTTATCTTCGGCAGATATATGTGATAAACAAATCTTGAAAAATTATCTACCCATAAAATAAATATTTTTCTTCTTCTTTTATTTAACTGTTAAAAGCAGAATTATCGTAAGTGGGACGTTTTACTAGGGCCCTTTCATTCATTCTAGTACTCTAGGTGACTCCTACTATGAATGATTCAAAGTTAATTTATTTTTAATATGAAAAATTTTAAAGCATTCTTCTATGCTTCAATATATTTAAATATTTTCAATTAAATACTAAAATTTGTATACAAAGATATATTTAAGTATTTTTTGGTAATTGAATCAAATGGGAACATAAACGCAAAATTCCTTACTTATGTTAACCCAACACCTTATACATTGATATAAAAAGAACGTAGTGTACTTGAAAAATACAATAAAAATAGGAATGAAATTTGAAAAGGAAAAAAAAATATTATTTAAATAATTTAGGCTAAAATCTATGTGTTCCTACGTGATCCATTTTCCTAGAGGTCCCTCTGAAAGAGAATGTTTTAAGGGCCAACGAAAAATGTTTTGTTTAGGGCCCGTAAAGTCTAAGAACAACCCTGGTAATAAGTAAACGAGATTGGGGCAATCCGAAGGAGTTGTGTGTACGAAACATGCTCTGTTACAAAAACTATTTTAACTAAATGTATGAAAGAGATAATACTTAAAAAAAATGATACTCTTTAGGCTATCATAAACATGGTGTTTCAGAATCACTGTCTATAATATATTTGTCATAACTTATAAACTATACACATTAAGGGTCGCAAATTTATAATATCAGTATATTTACAAACAGAGAACTAAAGTAAGTGAAATAAAAATTTGAAACTACGTTTTTCAAGTAATTTAAATAATAGAAACTAACTTAAAATAAATTTTATTTATAAATTTAAAAATTTAGTACATTTTCTTGTTGTGCTTACTCAATTATAATTTAATTGCTCTGTATTTTAAAATTTATCAATTGAAATGATTGTATATGTAAATAACGTTAGTAATCTTCGGCTTTTGAGCCGGATACTGAATATTCAATGCATAACTTATTTTTAAATTTTATTTTTAAATCGTTCTGCTCATTTATTTTCTTTTTAAACTTTTTAAAATATTCTAATTTGAAAGAATTATAAGAGTTTAAACTATAAAATTCAGTTTTTTATTTTCATTCAGTTCATTTGTTGCTAATCAGAAAATGAATTCAATTTACAAAAACAAAAGAGACGAAGAGGTAAATTAACAATTAAAACATTAAATAAAAATGGAAAAGCGCCTAAAGCAGCTAAAACCAAATTTTCTTTATTTTAATTTAGATATTCGAACAAACAATTAAAGGAGGAAAACGAAATAAAAGCAATAAAATAAAAGATATGTATGTTTGTAAGACAACACTTCTACACATATATATATAATTTGTTGCTGCACATATATATCGCTAAAATATACTACGTATCCTACTAGAGCATCACTAAACAAAATGGAAATAAGAAACAATAATAGAATTAGAAATTAGATTCAAAATATAAATAAGAAATTTTTAAAAAAACACTAGAAATTAATATTTGTAAAACGCTACCATATTTTGCTTTCTAAAAACCACTCGTAGAAAGATGCTAATGTTAAAGTTACATGCGTTAGCAGGGATAGATAGGCTTACAATATTTAAAAAAAATTGTCTATAAGATATAGATTTCAATAACTACATACGAATGATCCTATTTCATTTTTAAAATATAAGCAATGATAATACTAACAATTTATTTATTTAATATAATATTAAATACATAATTGTGTAGTGACAGTGAGAATTGTAAATTGAACCATTAAAATAATTTTGGAAGGACCCTGTATGCACTTGCCGTTAAAAAAAAAAAAAAAACAAGAATTTCGAATAAAATAAAACTTAAAATATTTTAATTATAACTATTCAAAACTTTATATACTTAGTGAAAACAAAAGTCTAAAATATAAAAAAAACGCGCAAAAGAATTAATTACTTCACAAAATCAATCAATCGAAATTACGAAATAAAATAAAAATAATATATTGTTGCTTGGGGAGCATTATAAAAATGAAGAGAAAACTAAAAAAATATATTCAAAATGAAATAGCAATGACTTAGCTATCGAACACAAACATTCAATACGTATTAGAAGACGAAAGAACCTTTAAACAAAGAAATTGAATCGACTTAAGAAAATAGAAAGTTAACAAGAAAGTAAACTCAAAACATTATGAATTTTCTTTAATCATCCATCTTAAAACTCTAACTTATTCTAATTAACCTTAAATCACAAATTTCTAATTAATTCTCTATTATAAGTGCTTATAAGCATAAAACAAAATAAGTAGGACTCACCTCTTTCATATATTTTTTTTTCTCTTTTTGTTGCGTCATCATACAAAAAGGAACTTACGAACTTGAGAAATCACTTTCTGTTTTTGAAATAACCGTTAAGAAAGTTAATAGCTTCTTAAATTCACAGGCTTGGACTACAGTGTTTATTAACCAAACCATATAAAAGGATCAAAACTTCTTCGAAATATTCAATTTTTGATGACATCATCGTTGCTACAATTATGATATGAATACGTTTATATATTCAAACAAGCAATTTCAAAAGCGGTTACCATTTTTAAAGATCTTACATAGAATATCCAGTTGTTCGACCTTTTGCATCAAATAATACATTTCTACTGAAGAACTAAACGTTATCAAAAATCAATAGCAAACAAATAGTATTTAATGTAAGCAGAACATAGCTTTTATAAAGCAAAAGTATATATAATCGTTTTCAACGGATTAAACACAAATCAATGAATTTTAATATTGAACATATCTTTTAAGGACGATTATAAGTTCAATTTTAAGTGAGAGCATCAAAGCGTCGACTTCCTCAATTTAAACCACTCCTAGAAAAAATCTTTAAAAAAAACGCGCAGACGATTAAAAAATTAGGGCAGCTGTGGTTCACGTTTGATATAAAATCGTTTGCTTTTTGGTTAATACAAGCAAATATCAATTAGGTGTTTATTCTATTGAATGATTTTCGCCTATTGACAATATCTCCATTTACATTATTCTTAAAATTAAGCTTTAAATTTTACACAAATTATTATTTGCAACTTAAATTACGTATTATTTAAGAAATCTAAAACACAATATACTCTAACACAATATATTCTTCACAATATATTCTTCTAACACAATATATTCTTCAATGCAAAGCGCTTCATATTCTATTGAATATATGTCTTAACTTTTTACTGAAATAAATCTTTGTAGTGTAAACATTATCATAGTCCAAACATACACAAAATAGAATAAAGCATTTTATTCAAAATTAAAAGATTGCAAAAATGCTTAGTTCATGTTTTTGTTCGCACAAAAACTTAATTTTTCTACCTCTGCAATAATATTTTTTGAATAAAATAAATCTTATCAAGACAGTTTGTGGTTGCTATAACAGTTGTGCAAAATTTGAAATGTTTAACATGAATCTTAAAGAAAATGCAAGTACATCTATTTTAAAAGCAGAAAGATAAGATAACATTGAAATAGATTTATTTAAATATTATTCAGTAATTTGAATATGTAATTTGTTCTGTAATTTTGAACTGTTTACTGCATAATCAAAGTAAACCTTTTAAACTATAAATAATTAAAAATAAAGTTTAATATCTTAAATATATCGTTTTTTTGATAAAAGCACTGTATATTTGAATAAATGCAAATCTAATTTTTGAGTAGCATAATAAATTTCTTTTAAAATATAAGAATGCAAAATTGTGGAGACAATATTGATTGCTTAGTTTAGAACGAACGAAGGTCTAGTAAAATAGATTTGATCTAAAACATGTTTAATACTTATATGCATAATTTTTGTTGAGGGTAGGGTAAACTAACCAGTGAAGGAACACTTAAGCTTCGCTTGTCTTTTAAGAAATCCTATTAATTTCAAAATTCGTAATTTTAGTTAAATGACAGTGTCAACATATTTGTTACTAATTGCAAATTATGTAAAAAAAATTGTAGAGAACTTACATAATATTGTTTTAAAGTTTTGGAGGTTTAAATAGCAAGTAGTAAGAAGACCAAGTGAAGGAACAGCTCTTACCAGTGAATGAACACCCAGTGAAGGAACACTTAATTTTGGTTATTTTTTAATGCTCTTTATGAATTTATAAGCCATACAAATATTTAAAAACAAGCCTATTCTTGAAATTATAACA